TCATGATAAAGACTATGCCCTCTGATTTTTCCAAGGTCAGAAAGCATCTCTATGCTTCTAACATTATTTTTCAAGTTAAGGTAGTAGTTTTAGCTTATTTTGATTATATAAATTAAAAGATCACTTGGAAAATTATGAGAATAATTTTAGTAGGTTTCCTATGATCAAAGAAGCTTAGGAAAAATACAATGATGGCTTGAATACTTTTGTAAATTTCCATATTTACTTAAGTGTATATATCTTGTGTTAATTTATGTAAATTATATGGTCATCAAAAATTGATGAAATTAGTTTAACATTGTGCATTAAAATCATATTTACTTACTATAAAAATTTAAAAACTAATTGGCTTAGTTTAAGCACTAAAATTGAATTTTAAAGAAACTTTGTATTTTTTGTACAAAAATAATTATAATAAATTAAGTAAGCTTAGAAAAATCATGAAAAATAGTTTTTTGAGTTCCTTGTGAGGGCATTTAATAAAAATAAAAGCTATTTTTAGTGGAAATATGTCATTTTCAAAGTTTATTTTGAATTAAGAAAAATGAAAATAATCAAAATTTTCAAAAATACAAAAAAGGTTCAAAATGTGTACAAATTTTCCTTTGTCACTTATAATTCATTAGGATATTCTTCCTAATTTATTTGGGTTAAAAATAAATTTGAAAAACTTAAAAATGAATTTTCCTTATTTTCTCATTAAAATAATCATAATAAATAAATTAAAAATCATAAAAATACAAAAATTGATTCTATGAGTTTTCTAAACTCAGAGAAGTCAAATAAAAATATAAAAATAATTTTTGTAATTAAAAAATTATTTTCTATTTAATTTAAATCATTGAAATTGATATAAATTTAAATAATAATAATAATAATAATAATATAATTCAAAGAATGATGAAATTTTGCCTAAGTGTTTCTCTGACCCAAGAAAACCTCTAATAATTTTCTCATAAATAAAAACTTTATTTTGGATAGTTAAATAAATAAATTTTGAAAACCATAATTCCTAAATTTAAAAAAACAACACAAAAAAAAACCAAATTATTCCACTCTGAATGCTCAAGTCATTTGAGTTGTGTTCGTTGAGTTATGAGGTGAAGTACCCCATGGGAAAATAGTCATTTTAGATTTTGGTTCTTAATCAAAATTTAGGATTAACCAAGGGTAAATGAGAAATTTTGATCTTAATAGACACGTTTGGATGATTGAAATACAATGGGATTAAAAGGTAGAAACTCACTCTCCACCTTT